CGCATACAAACATGGTCTTTTTTGCTTTGAGTAAGGCAGCTCCAAAATGCAGGTGTTTCAGTCTAGCTCAGTGCTTTCTGTGGTGGTGGGGCAGCCAGCGGAAAATATGGACTGTAGGGGTTGGTAATGTTTTCTAGTTGCACCGTGATTGGCTCAGTGTTCTGTCACTCATGGGGACCCTACGTCACCGCAAAATCTACAGGGAGAGGTCGAAAATTCAATCCCCTTGAGTGCTGCCATAGAGTTACATTAGAAGTGCCCATCCAAGAAGGGTCAAGGTCATTGGCCACAGATAGAATGACCTCAAATCACGTTATATCTACCGTAGCTTTGATTGGACTGATCATGTCAACATCATACTTTCAAAATCTTAGCTAGCAAGCAGTCAACATCATGAATCAACTCGACAATCTACTGGCAAATCCTTTTTAATCCTTGTCATTTGAAGATAAATTATAGATAAAATGTATCGGTGCTCATCGGCCATTGGACATAAATATTACAGAAATTGGAAATCGCAAATTCAACAATGAGTGGTTTGGAAGGAATCAGTGGCTAACTGCAAGTGTTGCAAAGCAATCACTAGCCTGCTATCCAGTGGGTGTGTGGTCCAAGTCTGGGATTAAGGGTCTCTTTTCCAACCTTAAAAGGATAAAAATTCACATGCAACACCATGGGCCAGAAAAGGTTGAATACATTAACCATGCTGTCAATCCAGCATGACTTCTGCCGCGTTCAAAACAACTGGAAACTCAGTACTGGGAAATCGTAGACTTCAGTGAGTTGAAGACAACTGGGACAACCTGAAGATCACTGACGTCATGATTCGACCTTGTTTTATCCAAGTTCACAGTTGTCTTGAAAGCACCATAAATCCAGATAACTCTAGACTTTGATGACAAAGTTTGATGACAAAATTTGCCCGCAAGAGGGACCGCTGCGCCACCTTCCTGTTCAAGTGAGCACAGCACAGCAAGGTGAGTCCAAAAATGTATTGTATGCTGCTGCATAAATGATGTAATATGCCAGGGAGATATGTATAATGTAGCTAAGAAAGTAATACTAAGTGTATGTTGTGTAGTAAGCTGTTAGTAGCCCATGTGCCTCACCCTAATAATTTGGTCCCTTTTCCCCTCATAACTTAGCCTGTATTTTTTGACTTTATGTTTTTTTTACCCCATATGTAACTCTGTGTTGTTGTTTTTATCGCACTGCTATGCTTTATCTTGGCCAGGTCGGAGTTGTAAATGAGAACTTGTTCTCAACTGGCTTACCTGGTTAAATAAAGGTTAAATAAAATAAAAAATAAATAAATAACTTAGCCTACTGTTCTGACTTGGTGGTGCACATGTAGCCTATAGCCTGTTTTAGATAAACGCAATCATTGAATATTGTAAGAGTTTTCATTGTATGCTTATATGCCACCTGTATTTATCCTACGGTTCTGATTTGGTGTACAGTGAGAATACTGTAAGGACGGCCCATGTTCTGAATTCTGTCGCTGTACATTTCAAAAGTGCCAAACAAATAGTTATTTTGACTACGTCCGTCCTAGTTCGCTCATTAATGTCTTAAACGAAATTACGGATTGCCTCATCTGCTCGTAGTCCCTTTATACCATCGTTTGTACATCTCAATTGTCAGTAGACACCACATTTGTTTAAGCAAGTCAGCTATATCAGCTATGTTTTTTTTAAAGGCAGTAAATGAGGCTGAATTAACTGTTTCGCTGCCAGACAAGGCTCCGCTGATAGCCAGGTGTAGCAGTGGTAAGGATTCACTCCATGGTGCTGAAAATAAAGCTCTGCTGTTGGGACAGCTTTATGTAGGCCCTAACAGTTTGTGGGCACCGTTTGTCACTGTTATAGTGCAATTAATGTATTGTTTAGTGTTGTGTAGTGGCGTTGCTGGCATGCATCCCCCCATTTTTTTTTTTGTTTGCCCCACCAAGATTTACATGATAAAATCGTCATTGGGGAGGTGCACGGCGATGCGGTATGGCGCTCGATTTGGCCTCTGCGTGACTCCTGGGCTTCGCATTTGCTTCACACCCTCCATATGGAGCCTCCGACCATATTTTCTGATCAAGCATAAATTGTCTTTTAAAGCTGCTCCGCGAAGGCAATAAGTATGAATGCCCTGACTTCTGGAGAGTCTGTATTACCGTCAATTCTGCACGGCCAATGCAGACTTCAGATTGACTATTCAGCCCCTTTTACATAACAATTTTACAGTTCAACGTTAAACTGGGGTGGAGGGACGTCCCAAGGACCCCGAATAGCAATAGGTTTTATAATTTCCGGTCATCCAGAGGAAAGGGAAGAGAGAGGCTCAACTCGGCGGAAAATCTGTCTCCTTCCATCAGGTTGCGTTTTTTCGTTGTTACGCCCACTCAGCAAGTCGTTTTTGTATGGAGGTCAATGAGAGTGTCGAATTTGGTCAACTAAAAAAATGAATTGCTTATATGCTACGTGAGGTTTATTTGATCGAATAGAAGGTTCTTAATGGTTAAATTGTTACGAGTGTAGGACACGTGACATCCCGGCAACTTTGAGAAAAAACACGTTGTATCGGAGTTACCTCGAGATGGCTATGCATGTTCATGGCATTAGGCCGTAGCATAGCATATAAAGGATAGGCGGGAGCTAGACAGCACGCCGTGCCGCTTTGTGGACAACAACTCCCATTCTTAGGGCAGAGAGACATGTAATCTTGTCAGTATATCTATTATCTTTGGCTAAATACAAATCAGATAATCCCGTGCTTTGAAATGGATTGTGATTATGTCAACTAAGAAAACATATATTTTTAGCCACACCTGTCAGTCATTGATATATGAATAACTATATATGAGAATAACTATATGTTCGTGGATTTCCTTGTTGTCTTAGCTCGGTAAGTAACATTAGCCACTAGCTAGTTAGCCAAGTTCTGAATTATGGAGCCTGGGAAGGGTTGTTATTGTGCGCGTGCATTTTAAATAGTACCAAGCTACTTGATTGACAATTTATTCTGAGTTAATTCAGGCCACGAGAAAGGTTGGAAATGTGAAATTTCGCAATGCCTAATTTTACACCCCCATCACGTATAGCTTGCTTTTCAGACAATATGCTGAACAGAGACAATTCAGTTGTGTCGCATTACGTTTTTATTTGTTTTACTTGGTTAACCCTGAATAGCACATAACTTTAGCGAGTGTACATTTTAGTCTCCAACAGACTTTGTAGTGTATCAGGCTAGCTGCTGGTTAGTGAAGGGTTAAGTGCCAAATGCATTACCTAACAATGTTAGCTATTGATTCTGAGAAAATGTTGCTCTTCATTCAACAGCTCTCATATTTCAGGTTTCCCAACATTAGGTTTACAGTGGCAATGTTCCTACAACCTGCGCCAGAACACTGTGCTGTTTAGTTATGCTTTTTGTGTGTGCATAATCTCTCTTTACTCTCTAGGCGCTAGCTGTACATACATTGGTGTCATATTATTATACTAAACAAAAAATATAAACGAAACATGCAACAATTTCAACGATTTTACTGAGTTACAGTTCATATAAGGAAATCAGTCAATAAAAAAAAATGCATTAGGACTGAGCAGGGGTGCAGCCATGGGTGGAGCCAGGGGAGCCAGGCCCAGCCAATCAGAATGAGTTTTTCCCCACAAAAGGGCATTATTACAGACACAAATACTCCTCAGTTTCATCAGCTGTCTGGGTGGCTGGTCTCAGACAATCCCACAGGTGTACAAGCAGGATGTGGAGGTCCTGGGCTGGCGTGGTTACATGTGGTCTGAGGTTGTGAGGCCGGTTGGACGTACTGCCAAATTATTACATTTTTTTACATTTTACATTTTAGTCATTTAGCAGACGCTCTTATCCAGAGCGACTTACAGGAGCAATTAGGGTTAAGTGCCTTGCTCAAGGGCACATTTACGTCATTTAGCAGACGCTCTTATCCAGAGCGACTCACAAATTGGTGCGTTCACCCTATAGCCAGTGGGATAACCACTTTACTTTACTTTTTTTTTTTTTTTTGGGGGGGGGTAGAAGGATTACTTTATCCTATCCCAGGTATTCCTTAAAGAGGTGGGGTTTCAAATGTCTCCGGAAGGTGGTGAGTGACTCCGCTGTCCTGGCGTCGTGAGGGAGCTTGTTCCACCATTGGGGTGCCAGAGCAGCGAACAGTTTTGACTGGGCTGAGCGGGAACTATGCTTCCGCAGAGGAAGGGGAGCCAGCAGGCCAGAGGTGGATGAACGCAATGCCCTCGTTTGGGTGTAGGGACTGATCAGAGCCCGAAGGTACAGAGGTGCCGTTCCCCTCACTGCTCCATGGGCAAGCACCATGGTCTTGTAGCGGATGCGAGCTTCAACTGGAAGCCAGTGGAGTGTGCGGAGGAGGGGGGTGACGTGAGAGAACTTGGGAAGGTTGAACACCAGACGGGCTGCGGCATTCTGGATGAGTTGTAGGGGTTTATTAAATTATGTTGTGACAAAACTGCACATGTTAGAGTGGCCTTTTATTATCCCCAGCACAAGGTGCACCTGTGTTATGATCATGCTGTTTAATCAGTTTCTTAATATGCCACACCTGTCAGGTGGATGGATTATCTTGGCAAATGAGAAATGCTCACTAACCGGGATGTAAACAAACTTGTGCACAACATTTGGAGAGAAATACGATTTTTGTGCGTATGGAACATTTCTGGGATCTTTTATTTCAGCTCATGAAACATGGGACCAACACCTTACATGTTGCGTTTATATTTTTGTTCAGTATACATCTAGTATAACCATACACATTGCTTGTCTGAAACAGTAAGAAAATCCAGAGTGCAGACTAGTACAACACCTAGCCTAAATGCTGACATCACATCTATGCATTTGGCAACTGTTGCAAAGTCTCTGAGGTTGAAAAACCTTTCTCTGTTGTAAAGCAGCATCATTTGTAAAAAGTGTTATGGGTGGGGCTGCCTTGATAAGTACATTGTGTCTCCCCTCCAGCCATGACTCTGAGCATGTCTCCGGCTGCGGTGTGCCAGTGCTTCACGCTGGTGTCCCTGTGCACATCCATCGCCGACCCCAACTGGATCCAAGTCATGAACAACACTGACCCCGGAGGCAAACAGCTCATCTATGGTGTGGCCTTCATACTGCAAGCTGCCCAGAACCTCACTGACACAGGTAAGGGCAAGACTGGAGGTGGAAGAAGTGTTGTCCTGAGGATTGTCTTTTCACTCTTATCACGTTTCAGTTTCAAGTTTTATTGGTTGTATGTACGGGATACACATGGTATACACCGTCCAACGAAATGCTTACTTGCAGGTTCCCTCTCGACAATGCAACATCAATAAGAAATAATAAAATAATATAAACAAAGTAAATCAGTAGAATAGAATAAACATTTTAGCATAAGTATAATACACGAAGACACAATATATAGTCCAATATTTACACGTTTTTTCGGGAAGGGGGATTGGGGGGCAAGTGTCATGTTGACACTGTAGGAGAGTTCACAAGTGCCACTGTTAAAATGTGCTCACGTTATGTCTGATAAAGTGTGTATGTATTCTATTCTTCTATGTTTGCATTGTCCGTATGCACGTGTGTATTCCCTGTTTGAGCCCACTAGTCTGTGAGCAGCTGTGGGTGTAAGTGTTTGTATTTGTGTTTACAGTGTGTGTGCATTTACAGTGTGTGCGCGCTCCCTCCCTGTAGGTCCACTGGGTGGCGTAAATGGCTGGGGGGTGTGGCTGCTCTATGCCCTGGCTGCTCTGTGCTACAGTGCTGTTCTGCTCTCCAGCTCCTCCTTCCTATTGGACTTCCTGGGGACTGGGATGTCCCACCCTCGACTGGTGGTGTCACTCCACATCTCCACAGGTAACCCAACCTCTCTCCCTCTGTCTATCTGTCTCATTTTTATTTATTTATCTCTCTTCCTCCTTTGGCCTCTTTTGCTGTCTTATCTCTTTCTTTCTGTCTCTCTCTCTCTCACTGAGGGCTTATCACAATACTGTCATCACTTGAAGAAGAATGCCCTCTCACAGGCCTCATAAAATATGAACTCTCATAGAATGACATAAGAGCCATGTTTGCTGAGGCATGTTAGAATACATAACTCTCTCTGCAGTTCTCTCTGGGATTAATTAGTATGTAATTCTCTCTATCTCTCCCTTACACTCTCTCTCTCTCTCTCTCTCTCACCCTTAAACTCTCTCTTTTCTCCCTTTCCCTTCCTCTCTACCCAGTGGTTCTCCTCCTGTCTGTGCTGGGAGTGTGTGGGGCCTGCCTGTACATCATCTACTGCAACCTTCAGGAGGGCAAGTTTGGGCCACTATGGGAATGGGTAGAGGGCTGGACCTGGCCTGGGTCTGGCTCCAGGAGCCAGGGAGGAGGAGGGGCGACGGCTATGAAGCCTTACCCAGGGGAGAGCTTCTACATCACCATGCTGGGCCTGCTCTTCTCCTGCCTGGCCGGTGTGATCAGCCTGAGCGGCCCGGGGGACCCCACCTCCACCCAGAGGGACTACACAGCCGTGGTGGAGGGGGACGACAGTGACACAGAGCCCCTTACCCCCAGGGAGCAGGGAGTGGGCCAGTCTGACGGAGAGGAGGGGGCAGGAGACGCATTGCCTGAACTAACTCAGGGGGAGGTGGGTGGAAGTGGAGACTGTTAAAGGGGTTTCTCTGACCGCTACAGAGGTAGGGGTTTGAATGTGTGGCCCAAAAGGCGAACTATGGCTTAGTTCAGGACTAGAATGCAAACCAGGACCACACATGGCCTGTAACAGACTTAATTAGGCAGCAGTGCTGGCGCCTTCCCTGGTCATGTTTTGGATCCCTATTGCTTCACTGGACCAAGCCGGTGGAATCCAGTCAGGAGCCAAAAAAGAGAACAGATACGTTTCCTCATGTTGTTTTAATGTTTGTCTGCCTAAAACATGCCCAATCGGGTCTGTGTATGTACAGTTGCACAACATGAAGTCAATAACCCATTTATGGGTTTAAAAAATGTTTGTTTTTTTCCTTGTGGGAGTTTATGCCCAGCGTCTCAAACTTGACTTGACCAAGATAAATCATTATTTGGCTTGCTGTGATATTTGGAAAAGTGTGACAAGAACATAACACGGTTAAGCGATTTCTGTCTGTGTGTGACCAGGGCATTATATTCCCTTCCTGCTCGTCAATGGGAACAAGCTTTGACCCTGATCACATTACATCAAAATAACGACTTGGGTATGTTCAGGATCAGCGAATGGTTTGTAACGGTTCAGAACCAGAAAATATGTTCAATGAGCAGAAGTTCAGACGCTGCACAACATTGCGATCCTAAACATAGCTCATGTTTGTACGATCACCTATTCTCCTCGTCTAGTTATCATAAAAATCCCTAGAGGAAGGTTTTTCTGATTATTTTTACAGGTTGTTTTCTAACGTATGCATTATCTTAACTTCTTAAACCCTTTGCACAGTCTTCCATAGTGACACTTTAAGTTTCCTAAATGGTGGAAAGAAATCACAGATTTCTATGGAAGATTTACCTGAAGTGTAGTGAAACTGGAGTTTCCTTTGAGAAATTCAATTTAAAAAGCCCATTTGGCTTTTATGACTATTATTGCCACTATAGCTTGAATCAATCACTGAGGCACTATTTATTAGCATGGTTGTTTCCTACTATAGGAAAGATTGAGTGGGGATATGAAGTCTTACCTTTCCACAGCAGGTAGTGTAAATACATGGCTCTTGCCTTTAAATGACTTAATATCTAATCAAATTCAAATATGATGCATTAAATATTTGATGTACTTAAATGTTTCATATAATGAAGACACAACTATTGGTCACTAGATACTACAGATCACTGTGAAAATATGTCCCGGTTTGGCATCTTTAGATGTCTACAGTACAGCACAAACCACTGTATGTATGCTTATCCTACTTGAAGGCAACCAATAAGACAAGCTCCTTGATGGTGCTTGGTTGCATATGACGGTAGGACCATGGATATTGACTTGATTCATTAAGATCGCTAAGATGGCTGCCTAGAATCAGGTTTTCCTTATCTGCTTATACCCTCAATACCTGTTTCCTGGACACAGATTAAGTTTAGTCCTGGACTAGGAAACATTTTCAATGGAGATTATGTTTTTAGTTCAAGGCTAGGCTTAATATGTGTCTGGGAAACCGGCCCTCAATCTTTTCCTCAGATACATAGGAAGACATTCCTTCTCTTATTCCAGGGTCACAGTCCCATCTCTATGAATCAGACTTTTTATTGTTGTTTGTGATGCTATTTATTCATTAAACAGTTTTTGTGTATTTGTAAAATGTGTAAATGCATTTTCTTTCTGTTTCAGAACAGAAGTGTCCAGTCTAGTTACTCTCATTCCCACTCATCTGCTGTATGTGTTGGTGTCCGTCATCTCTGCCTCTATAGGTTAATTTCCAACCAACATCATCAGGAAATGATCTTCATCCAAAACCACAAGATCATCTAACAAATGATGTTGCTTGCTGGTACCAAATGACCAGGTATTAACTTTACATGGTAATTACCCAGTAATAACCTACAGTATGAATTACTTGTTTTCTTTGGGATTCATTTAAATAAGCCCCCACAACAGGCACCATTTGGTACTAGGTTATGGAAATGTGTTTTAATTGTTTTAAGTACCTAACGCTATACAATTTTCCTAGTAAATGCCAGTCGAAACAGTAGCATAAAATCAATTGCTACCCAAATTCAGCCTGTGGGAACATCTTATTATCAAATGAGGCATCTACAGTAGTAGAGGTCTAGGGATTTTCTCTTAAACCAAAAACAATGAGATCGTCCCCCGATTATGTTTGTTGTAATGGAATATGTATATCTTCATAGTGTATATCTGACTACTCTATGCAGGGTCCCATCCTATCCAAAGAAAAGTTGTCTGGACCAATATCAATATTTTCCATAGTTACTGGCTTATGTTTGTGTGAGGGGATGTTCTTATTTGTCATGGGAGTGTCTAACACCCCTGGACATCATTGAAATCTGAACCCTGTCTGTTGTTGACAGTAGGTATCCTGGGGTATATGTCAGATTCATTATAGGGACTGCTAACCTTCTTTCCTCTTCATTGACAATCAGATGGCTCTAAATATACCTCTCCATCTCAGCACTGTCCCACGTCTTTCCTGAAGTCTTTCTGAATGCATAGGCAGGTTTTAGGGTTAGCCAGGCAGGACTCACTGTGAACATGATGTCCCCACTGTCAGCAAGCAATAACTTCAGCAGACAAACCACTCCTTGGTAAATATAAATAATCTAAGGATATGGTTGAGTGTAGCCTATTAGTAGATGGGCACAAGGTTGGTTTACACCTAGGTTGCACTGTTCCTATCAAAGCTCACCCGATCTCTTCCTCTCCCCTCCCTCCAACGCGCCCTCTACTGTCACATGACTCCACCCCCTTCTCCCATTGGACGGAAACCATTGCCATAGTAACCTTGACAAATTGTTGATGTCACCAGTGAATTTGTGAATGAGAGATAGGAAAGGGGGGGGGGGCGAAGAGCCTATTTTAGTGATGGTGTCGCTCTGATGGGTAAGTGAATGTGTGTCTGAGCCTGTGTACATGTACACAACATACATACACATGTAGGTACATGTGTGAATGTGTTAGCACTGGATTACTGTACTGAAATGTATCTGAAGGAACAGATTTTCATGTAAATAGTCTGGAATATGGTACATTTCCAAAACAACATGATTGCAGAAAACCCTTACAGTTGCCCATGAGTACTTCTCAGGGCCCTCTCTTATCCTCTCTCAGAGACACAACTCTTAAGACACTATTTACCCTGCAGAGGTAGTGGGGGGATGGGCTTTCCATTGTTTAAAGACACTCTTCCCCTCAACTTTCACACCTCTGCTCCTGGAACACTGTGTTGCTAAGGGTAACCAGAATCACATGACCGGGTTAGCCAATCAGTGGCCTAGCCTGGGGTTTGAGACACCAGTCTGCCCCTCAACCCTTTAGTTGTTTCCAGGAGGAGGGCAGGTTGAGACAACCTCAGTAAACTCCTGTCCTCCACATCAACTCACATCTGGACATTTTCATATGGACAATCCAGCCTCTGGACTTCCTGACCGGTGTTTAGTGCGTCTTTGACCACACAACCACTATCACTTACACTTCTATTAGTCTCCTCTTCCTGTTTGCTGTGTGGTAATAAAGTGTGAATTGTACCCCTTTCTTCTACTGGTCATTTACGTCCTCACTGGGGTGCTGGGACAATTCTACCTATATCTAAACTGGCACCTCTATTGGAGTCCACTACCAGTTGATGGCACTCTTTTTCAATGATGTATTTATTTTAAACCCTAATATTCAGTCTTCTGTGAGGAAGTGGACAATTCTTTCAACAGAGCTTCCTGAGTCATGCGTGTGTGTAGTGTGCATGTGGAGTTCATCTCCACATGGAGGAGTGGAGAGCGGGATTAGGAGAGAACCGACAGGGATGAGCCTACTAGTGGAGCTGTGAGATTCCTCTGTATCCCTTCTTCTTCCTCAGTTTTCCTCTGTCTCTCCTTTTCTCCTCTTTAGTGACATTCAGCCATGGCTGCTCAGAAATGTTAAAAGAGGAGGGAGAGGAGAGAAAGAACAGTGGTGTTATTCAAGATGGATGTCAGATCCTGTTTTATTAGCGTACTTGCATGCGGTTCCTTCCCTTAGTAGCTTATCTGTGGTCCTGTGTTCTGTTTATGTTTATTAGTAGATCAGTACAGCATGAAATGTGAATGCACGTTTTGTGTGTTTTTAATGTCCGGTGGGGGTCACCATATGCGTGGCGACAACAGTCATATATTTGCTTTAGTGTGTGTAGTCTCTTGACAGTCCTGTTTGTCCCTATACGACTGGGAAAGCGAGGCGTGTGTGTGTGGTGAATTGAGTTTGAGAGTGGCTTGTGTGCAGGTCTGTGTTACGGCCCTGCAACACTATAGCCATCGGTGTCCGGCATTGCCGTCAGCCGTTGAGGAAATGCTTCCTATGAAATCAATGAAAGCTGCTTCATTGCCCGTGTTGCGCTCGCGTTGCATCACGTCCAAGCTCAAGAATAGCTGAGGTTCAATTCTTGATGGCTGACACGCACGTTCATTCTAGCTTGTGAATTGAAATAATTATAAATAAAGTAGATTTTGGTTCCATATGGCCTCGACTATACACCACTGGTTATTTTACTAAGATTTATGAAGTCAAGAAGCTACTACTACTAGCTAGCTAGCTACATTGACTTGCTAGGTTCACAATGTAAACAAAAGCAACTTGTGTAATTAGAGGATAATTTAGTACAACCACTAGCAACAATTTAATGAGTACTTGAGAAAAACTGAACCAAAGCTATTGTACTTACGCATGTGTTTGGTACCATTTCATTTATTCCATTCCAGCCATTACAATGAGCCCATCCTCCTATATTTCCTCCCACCTGCCTCTTCTGGTATGAAGGAACATGGCTGTTTTCTGATCATGTTGACAGGGTTATGTGTGGAAGATTGCTTGTAGTAGTTCTGAATGTGTGCACACAGTGGAGTGTGTATGAAGAAGGCATTATGAGTGGAAATGAGTCACACATTTCTTGACATTGGAAAGCCTAGTGAAAATAATGTGATTTACTCCAAATGAAACCAGAATCTCTCATACTCATTTGACATTTTAGTCATTTAGCAGACGCTCTTATCCAGAGCGACTTACAGTTAGTGAGTGCATACATTTTTCATACTGGCCCCCAGTGGTAATGAAAGGGTTGATATGTTTTGCTTGAATGTATGATGTAATATTTTTGAATACCTGTAAAGGCCTATTTTGTGTGTGAGCTCTGTGATTTTGAACTCAATGCCTGCATGTTCGTTTGGTAAACCCAGTCAGAGATTTAGAAGAGAGGACATAGTCCTACTTATCCATTTACAGACAAGTTAAAGGTTCTGTTCTGCTACAGCTTCAACATAGGCTAATTTCTCTTTCTCTGCCCTCTCCCTCCTCATCTTTGATATCTCTCTTTCTCTCTCATTTGTCTCTTTCTGCAATTTATCCCTGCCTTCCTCTCCTCTCTCTCGACTAGTCCTGAGTAAAGCTGATTTCAGGCTCCAGTTCCTCCCCTACACAAACACAGCCAGCTCTGCTCTCTCTCTCTGCCCCTGGGAACTGGGCATCATGATTGCCCAAGGCCTCGCTTGCCCTCCGTACTAAGAACTGCAGCCTGAGCTACACACGCACGTATGCACACACATACACACTCATCCTGTCCGGTCATGTGTAATTCAGTCGTACAGTACTCAAAGGAATATATACATAGAGATAGACACAGAAAGAGAAATTGCAGAATTGGCAGGGGTCCCCATTTTCCAGCAGTAGCCACTGTATTTGTTATCCACGTATTCTGTGTGGAACAGAATCAATACATTGTATGCTATTCTGAGGTGGAGGAATAATTCACACCTTTGTTGCTGGAAGTGTGGGCGCAGGCGCGGTGCGGGTCTGGGAAGGGGGCGGTGCTGTGGTCATCAGAAGGGGCGGGGCGGAGGTGGGTGTGTGACACAGCTGATGCACGTATCCTCTCTATGCCTCCATCACCCGATCTCTGCTACGAGTACTAGCGGCTGCAGCCTCCCTCGATCGGAGCCACACGAGTAGGCCTAGGCTATACAGCCGCTCCACCGTCCGTCCCTATCTGCGAACCCCGAATCGGACAGCTCGCCGAGGAGCAGTGGGGCGACATAATTCGGCTTCATTCGGCGTTGTCTGTGCTGCTTCTGCCGCTAATAGTAAGTGCGGAGCTGCTGATGGAGCCGAGCGCTCCATCATTTCCATAGAGAAATACGCGCACCTAGTAGGCGACGCAGCGCGGCGCACATCGACACCTGCGTTTTTCTATATTTATCGCCATTCACCGCATTGCCATCCATTATCCTGCCGCTTTACATGTTGCACGCTGACGGGGAGAAGGATTTGGGTGATTCCAAGGTTGTTGTGGCAGAGCGATAAGGGGAGAGCGATATGGAGGGAGAGGGATACCGTTTTTGTTCATATTGCTTATTGGAGTGAAAGTAAAGACGGCGAGATTGGAATGTGGCAAAAGTGAGCGGTTGTGCGCGCGGGTTGTAGCCTACGATGCTCGCTCGAGCTCGAACCTCCGCTTCCCCCACCGGGAGAGAGCCGCGAGTGGAGTAGAGCGCTTTCCCTGACCCACACGCACATTATGCAGGCCGAATGCGTGAACGGAAAGAAATACAGATATGGGTAGATCATGTTAATTCTCTTGTTCTCGCCCTTCGTTGTTGAGTTAGGGCTTTTTCGCTGGTATGGAGAAACGAATGATGTTTCTCCATTGCGCTCTAGCATCGCCGCGTCCGCTGACAGTCATCCTGCCTGTGCACATCTGTGCGGTGAAGGGATTGACGGAGGTTGTTTTAGCTGCTGCACAAATAATGAAGATGATTTTGAATATATTGAGAGCATAAATGGACAGACCAAGAGCAAATGGCCTACAGTAGAATTTAGACCTACCTTGGCACTTAACATGAATAGACTTGGAATAGCTTGCATATGCAATAGGCTGATTTATTAGGCCTACATCACTACCAAACAGATGTAGCAAATACTGTGTTATTGACATGTCATGAAACATATTATGAGTATATAAATGTATGAACTAAAAGTGTGGGCTAACATGTCAGTTCTAGGTATATGGACAGTAATTTGATGGTAATGGCAAGGGAGCTCTGATAAAATAGACCTATTGAATATATTCTACAGTGTAGTGTTTACCTCTGTGCCCAGTGTGACTGCTCTGGGGGTCTTCTAGACCTGGCCTGTATGAGGCCTTGAATGAAGTGAAGTGTGTGTGTGTGTAGTGGGATAACAGTAATCACTTTGTTTGGGGGCAGTTTGTTTGCATTTGAGGTGTATATAGGGGTCTATGTATGGACAAAGCAGTGAAAATATGGGGAGAACATGAATTGTTGTTGTGTGTATGTGCAGATCTATTAATCTATTAAATACCTCATAATGCATTTCAGCACAGGACAAGAGATTGAGAATAATCCCTTTATGAGAGACTCGAGGAGTGTAAGTGTGAATGAGGGCGCACTAGAAAGAGTGCTTGCCTGTGTGTGCATACTCTCTCTGTATGAAGCATGGAGCCGATGATGTAATGCCTAGGAGTGTGTAACTGTGGCAGTGAGGGATGTGTAGGCACGTGCCACAGCTCAGCCAACACTGGAACAGGTCCCTCTACTGGCCCTGAGGCAGTACCGCACTCTATCCCGTTTTGGACAGCACCTTATCCTAAGGATTCAGTACTCCCCCTTTCACACCCGGATCTGTTCCCATGTCCTACCTGAGATGGAATGTTAATACTTACCATATTATAGCAAAGTAACATAGTAGCATAGTAGCTTCATGTGCACAGTCTTTGATTCAGGCATGAAGAGACAATGGAGAGAGAGAATTCACACAAAGGTTTGGCTGCATCTTTGCCCAGACAGAAGTAGTAGGCTACACTTGGTACAATACACTATAAATCCAGATATTACCTTTAGGTCAATGTTCAATCAGTGATAGTTGAGTAATCAGATAGTGTTCCCTGTGGGTGTGGTTCAGGGACAAGCATATGATAATATATATTGAGAATTTGTGTTTGCAGTTGTTTGCATTTGTGTGTGTTTTATCGGTTTGCGTGTGTGTGTGTGTGTGTGTGTGTGTAAGACAGAAGGCAAAGGGTTAACATGCAAATGTACCAGGTGTGCAAAAAAACCTGCTCTGCTAACCAATCAACAAGTAGAGTGTGAGATAGTGAGAGAAAGGGTGTAAAAGGAACAACACAAGAAGATTGTGTGAGCAGTGAGCACAGTAAGCTTTCCTTCTGTGATTGTATATTCAGGATTTGCAATTGAGGTACAATCTGTTAATGTAGAATATAGTTAATATTTTTCATGTTTTGATTGAAACATTAATAATCAAGTATTAATCGTGTATTAACTCAAATCCTATTGATCTGCACAAATCCTATTTGTTAGCCCTTTAAAGTGAAACTGACAGCATTTTAACTAATTTGCAGATATGAAACAAACAGACTCATAATATCAGTAAAAAATATCAAATTCTCAGTTGAATGCTTCAAAACCAACTTTAAAAGAGGTTTTAAAAATAGGTTTTATTTGACTCAAAATGCCATGACATACAGTAAGTCATTGTTGGCAAAATAGATGGCTACAGTTCAATGCATGATTCATATTATTCACCATTACATTTCTTGGTTAGGGTCGCAGCATATTATGCATATCTGCAAGCTTAGCAGCAAAGGCTGGACAAATATTATTTATCTCTTCTTTTTTTTTATATGTTAAAATACTAAACTCAGCAAAAAAAGAAACGTCCTCTCACTGTCAACTGCGTTTATTTTCAGCAAACTTAACATGTAAATATTTGTATGAACATAACAAGATTCAACAACTGAGACATAAACTGAACAAGTTCCACAGACGTGACTAACAGAAATGTAATAATGTGTCCCTGAACAAAGGGGGGGTCAAAATCAAAAGTAACAGTCAGTATCTGGTGTGGCCACCAGCTGCATTAAGTACTGCAGTGCATCTCCTACTCATGGACTGCACCAGATTTGCCAGTTCTTGCTGTGAGATGTTACCACACTCTTCCACCAAGGCACCTGCAAGTTCCCGGACATTTCTGGGGGGAATGGCCCTAGCCCTCACCCTCCGATCCAACAGGTCCTAGACGTGCTCAATGAGATTGAGATCCGGGCTCTTCGCTGGCCAGAACACTGACATTCCTGTCTTGCAGGAAATCACGCACAGAACGAGTAGTATGGCTGGTGGCATTGTCATGCTGGAGGGTCATGTCAGGATGAGCCTGCAGGAAGGGTACCACATGAGAAAGGACGATGTCTTCCCTGTAACGCACAGCGTTGAGATTGCCTGCAATGACAACAAGCTCAGTCCGATGATGCTGTGACACACCGCCCCCAGACCCTGACGGACTCTCCACCGCCAAATCGATCCTGCTCCAGAGTACAGGCCTCGGTGTAACGCTCATTCCTTCGACGATAAACGCGAATCTGACCATCACCCCTGGTGAGACAAAACTGCGACTCGTCAGTGAAGAGCACTTTTTGCCAGTCCTGTCTGGTCCAGCGATGGTGGGTTTGTGCCCATAGGCGACGTTGTTGCCGATGATGTCTGGTGAGGACCTGCATTACAACAGGCCTGCAAGCCCTCAGTCCAGCCTCTCTCAGCCTATTGCGGACAGTCTGAGCACTGATGGAGGGATTGTGCGTTCCTGGTGTAACTCGGGCAGTTGTTGTTGCCATCCTGTACCTGTCCCGCAGGTGTGATGTTCGGATGTACTGATCCTGTGCAGGTGTTGTTACACGTGTTCTGCCACTGCGAGGACGATCAGCTGTCTCCCTGTAGCGCTGTCTTAGGCATCTCACAGTACAGACATTGCAACTTATTGCCCTGGCCACATCTGCAGTCCTCATGCCTCCTTGCAGCATGCCTAAGGCACGTTCACGCAGATCAGCAGGGACCCTGGGCATCTTTCTTTTGGTGTTTTTCAGAGTCAGTAGAAAGGCCTCTTTAGTGTCCTAAGTTTTCATAACTGTGACCTTAATTGCCTACCGTCTGTAAACTGTTAGTGTCTTAACGACCGTTCCACAGGTGCATGTTTGTTAATTGTTTATGGTTCATTGAACAAGCATGGGAATCAGTGTTTAAACCCTTTACAAAGAAGATCTGTGAAATTATTTGGATTTTTACGAATTATCTTTGAAAGACAGGGTCCTGAAAAAGGGACGTTTCTTTTTTTGCTGAGTTTATATTCAGCATCCTATGTACATAAGTTGACATTGTAAAGGGCCATATTTTTTCAAATAAAACAATAGCCAGTTTGAGTCGCAGTTGCACGTTTCTTTGTAAAAACAAATAGGCGATGTCTGGCCTGTGCGCTGATTGAGTTTGACACCCCTGAACTAGCGTATCTATTCATGTAGCTAGCTATTTATTTAGTGAGCTAAAAACAGAGCCTAACTCTAGCTAGCTAGCGAGCTGCTGGGAGGATGTCATGTCATTGGAGGAGTGGGTGAGTGAACAACTTTTTCCCCTCATATCATTTTTCAATGGCTACAGCTAGAGATCCAGGTGTCATTTGGTTAGCTAGAAAGAAATGTGAATCGCTTTGCTAGCTAGCTAGCTATGCTGAACTTGAACGACTGTTATCCACAGTTAGCATATCTCTTAGTTGTCAATCAAATGCATTTGGCATCGATCAAATGGGCGGGCAGGCAGGCAGGCAAGTAACCATTCAGTTGTCAAAACGTGGGTTGGGACAAGTATGCATTGGCAGGCAGAAGGACGAGCAGGCTACTATTCCGTTTCTCAGTGCAATTTTGCAGCCAACTAGCTGAACAAGTTTGAGAGGGTTTATCTAATGTTCCCTTGTTAGATTTTAGCTCATCTCGCTCTGGCTAGCATTAGTTGTTGATCTTGTTGTTGTTGATGTGCATAGGAAACTGAGGGAGAGAGCCTACCTTTTCATGGTTGTTTGATCAATTGGACTGTGAAGTTCCCAAAATGTAAGAGGGCTCCTGTGGTTTTTACATATTTACAGAAATCCATTCAGGTGTATTTTGTGGCTTTTGGTGAATGCGTTCTAATGATCTAATGTCGCGCTGTTGCTGCCGCCTGTAAACACACAGTCCAGTTCAAAGTGAATGATGGCAGGCCCATGTGGTAAATGAATTATTTGCATATAGGCCTACTGTAGCTCTGACTGGCTATGGTGCACCGGTCTGCGTAGACTCTGGTCCTGGACAAGACCGATGTTTTTATTAGGTTTTATTTACTGCAGTGTCTATTAATTGTCCAAACGCAAGGCTGCTTTCCCACTCTATATTGCTATAGAATTTTCACAAATGCCTTACTTCATTCCCAAACATTCTATGAACTTATGAAAGCGTGAAAATGACCATATCTAAGTGCTCGCTTGTCAGGAAATGTAAAAAAAGGTGTCATATTCTTCCTGGGGGTGTATATGAATAGATTTTAATAAGATTTAATGTTGCTAAAACGATGTCAGTTCCACTTTAATATCAACAGTTTTTGCAGTCATGTGAGATGTGCTTTCATTTGTATTGCATAAACAATTTTCTCAACTGAAAAAAATGCATTTGAATGTGAATTTTGATATGATTTGGAATAAGGTGCAACCGTATAAGGAATGCCTACTTAAATTGATACCGCAAATTGTCCTTTATTGTTAGCCTTTACATCATTTTTGGGATGATCTTCAATCATACATTCAATGTACTTCATATACATGTACAGTGCATTTGGAAAGTATTCTGACCCCTTGACTTTTTCCACACTTTGTTACAATACAAACTTATTCTAAAATGGATTCAATTGTTTTTTTTCTCATCAATCTACACACACTACCCCTTAATGACAAAGCAAAAACAGGTTTTTAGAAATATTTGCACATTTATTAAAAATAAAAAACGGAAATATCACATTTACATAAGTATTCAGACCCTTTACTTAGTACTTTGTTGAAGCACCTTTGGCAGCGATTACAGCCCCAAGTCTTCTTTGGTATGACGCTACAAGCTTGGCACAGCTGTATTTGGGGAGTTTCTCCCATTCTTCTCTGCAGATCCTCTCAAGCTCTGTCAGGTTGGATGGGGAGCGTCACTGCACAGCTATTTTTAGGTCTCTCCAGAGATGTTCAGTCGGGTTCAAGTCCAGGCTCTGGCTGGGCCACTCAAGGACATTCAGAGACATCCCGAAGCCACTCCTACGTTGTCTTGGCTGTGTGCTAGGGTCGTTGTCCTGTTAGAAGGTGAACCTTCGCCCCAGTCTGAGGTCCTGAGCGCTCTGGAGCAGGTTTTCATCAAGGATCTCTCTGTACATTGCTCCGTTCATCTTTCCCTCGATTCTAACTAGTCTCCAAGTCCCTGCCGCTGAAAAACATCCCCATAGCATGATGCTGCCATCACCATGCTTCACCGAAGGGATGGTGCCAGGTTTCCTCCAGATGTGACACTTGGAATTCAGGCCAAAGTGTTCAATCATGGTTTCATCAGACCAGAGAATCTTGTTTCTCATGGTCTGAGAGTCCTTTAGGTGCCTTTAGGCAAACTCCAAGTGGTTGTCATGTGCCTTTTACGGAGGAGTGGCTTCTGTATGGCCACTCTACCATAAAGGCCTGATTGGTGGAGTGCTGCAGAGATGGTTGTCCTTCTGGAAGGTTCTCCCATCTCCCATCTCCACAGAGGAACTCTGGAGCTCTGTCAGAGTGACCATCGGTTCTTGGTCAACTCCCTGACCAAGGACCTTCTCCCCCGATTGCTCAGTTTGGCCGGGCGGCCAGCTCTAGGAAGAGTCTTGGTGGTTCCAAACTTCTTCCATTTAAGAATGATGGAGGCCATTGTGTTCTTCGGGACCTTCAATGCTGCAGAAATGTTTTGGTACCCTTCCCCAGATCTGTGCAATCCTGTCTCGGAGCTCTACGGACAATTCCTTCGACCTCATGGCTTGGTTTTTGCTCTGACATGCACTGTCAACTGTGGGACCTTATATAGACAGGTGTGTTCCTTTCCAAATCAAGTCCAATCAATTTAATTTACCATAGGTGGACTCCAATCAACGTGTAGAAACATCTCAAGGATGATCAATGGAAACAGGATGCACCTGAGCTCAATTTCGAGTCTCATAGCAAAGGGTCTGAATACTTATGTAAATAAGGTATTTCTGTTTTCTATTTGTAATAAATTTGCTAACATTTCAAAAACACTTTTCACTTTGTCATTATGTGGTATTGTGTGTAGATTGATGAGGGAAAACATGTATTTAATCCATTTTAGAATAAGACTGTAATGTAACAAGATGTAGAAAAAGTCAAGGGGTCTGAATACTTTCTGAATGCACTGTAAGTATCAAAAGTAAATGTAATTGCTCAAATATACATAAGTATCAACATTAAAAGTAAAAGTATAAATAATTTCAAATTCCTAATGTTAAGCAAACCAGACGCCACCACTCCAACACTTAGACATAATTTACAAACGAAGCATTTTTGTTTAGTGAGTCTGCCAGATCAGAGGCAGTAAGGATGACCAGGGATGTGTGAATTGTACCATTTTCCTGTCCTGCTAAGCATTCAAAATGTAACAAATACTTTTGGGTGTCAGGGATGTATGGAGTAAAAAGTACATTATTTTCTTTACGAATGTAGTGAAGTAAAAGTAAAAGTTGTCAAAAATATCAATAGTAAAGTACAGATACCCCCAAAAAACTACTTAAGTAGTACTTTCAAGTATTTTTACTTAGGCACTTTACACCACTGATTATAGTGCAAAGATATGATTGTTGATTCATATCCTATCATATGTCTCACTATAGATCATGCGTGTATGGTCACTAAATGGATGTGTGTGTCTACTGTACAGTATGTCAACCCCTTTATTCTCTTCCTTGTGTGTAGTATATAATTAACCACTCTTTTTTTCGGTCTCAGTTTGTGGTCTCAATTGTAACCTTAGCCCAAGTTCAAACACCGCTCTATTGCTACACCGAACTAAAAAATATGTAACTTTCTCTTTGGAAGAGCGGGGATAGAGTGCCGTCTGAATCCATTAAGTGTGCCTCGTTTTTTCAAATTCTGTACACATTTATTAAAAATGAAAAGCCGAAAAGTCTTGAGTCAATAGGTATTCAACCCCTTTGTTATGGCAAGCCTAAATACATTCAGGAGTAAAAATGTGCTTAACAAGTCACATAATAAGTTGCATGGACTCATTCTTTGTGCAATAATAGTGTTTAACATGATTTTTGAATCATGACTACTGCATCTCTTTACTCCACACATACAATTATCTGTAAGGTCCCTAAGTCAAGCAGTGACTTTCAAACACAGATTCAACAATAAAGACCAGGAAGGTTTTCCCAATGCCTCGCAATAAGGGCACCTATTGGTAGATGGGTAAACATTTTAAAAAGCAGACACTAAATATCCCTTTGAGCATGGTGAAGTTATTAATTACACTTTGGATGGTGTATCAATATACCCAGTCACTACAAAGATACAGGCGTCCTTTCTAACTCAGTTGCCGGAGAGGAAGGAAACCGCTCAGGGATTTCACCATGAGGCCAATGGTGACTTTAAAACAGTTTTAGTTTAATAGCTGTGATAGGTGAAAACTCCACAATACTCATCTAATTGACAGAGTGAAAAGAAGGAACTATTCCAAAAACAGGCGTCATGTTTGTAACAAGGCACTAAAGTTATATTGCAATGTCCTGAATATAAAGTGTTATGTTTGGGGCAAATCCAATACAACACATTACTGAGTACCAATCTCCATATTTTCAAGCATAGTGGTGGCTGTATCATGTTATGGGTATGCTTGTAATCGTTAAGGACTGGGAAGTTTTTCAGGATAAAAAAAGAGACGGAATGCAGCTAAGCACAGGCACAATCCTAGAGGAAAATCTGGTTCAGTCTGCTTTCCACCAGACACTGGGAAATGTATTCACCTTTCAGCAGCACAATAACATAAAACACAAGGCCAAATATACACTGGAGTTGCTTACCAAGAAGACAATGAATGTTCCTGAGTGGCCGAGTTACAGTTTTGACTTACATCGGCTTGAAAATCTATGGCAAGACTTGAAAATGGTTGTCTAGCAATGATCAACAACCAATTTGACAGAGCTTGAAGAATTCTGAAAAGAATAATGTGCAAATATTGTACAATCCAGGTGTGCAAAGCTCTTAGAGACTTACCCAGAAACACTCACAGCTGTAATTGCTGCCAAATGTGATTCTAACATGTATTGCCTCAGGGGTGTGAATACAAATGTAAATGAGATATTTCTGTATGTCATTTTCAATAAATGTACAAAAATGTCTAAGCAAATGTTTTCACTTTGTCATTATGGGGTATGAATTGTAGATGGGTGAGAGAAAAAAAGTTAATTTAATCGATTTTGAATTCAGGCTGTAACACAACAAAATGTGGAATAAGTCAAGGAGTATGAATACTTTCTGAAGGCACTGTAGGTGCCGGTACTCATTTGGTGCCGTACTGTTTACATTTACTGTTTACATTTAGGTGCAGGAACTCCACAATACTTTTGAGCTAATATTCTATTAGAGGAACAGGAGCTCAAGCAGTAGAACATTTGAGGTGCCGGTACTCAGCTCCTGCCCAAGTCAAGCACTAATGGTCTCAGATTCGCAGTTGGAGGACTTCTTCATCCTCTTTCTTCTGTTACTTACAGTGTGTTGTGTGTGTGTGTACTTATAGTGTGTTGTGCTTGTGTGTGTGTACTTATAGTTTGTGTGTGTCTCTGTACCTTACTCTTAACGAACCCTTTCTCCCTCTCCCTCTCCTCTCCCTGTCTCTGTGTGTCCTGCAGTGTGTGTCGACTGGTGCTGCCTCCCTGCCCTCCATCATGGCACATGTGGAGCGCGGGGGGCTGATTGAGGGGGGGCGCCCCCAGGGCATGGGAATTGTGGCCAGCGGGGCATTCTCCTCGACCACCACCTCCTCTGGCCAGCAGCAATAGCAGCAGGAGATTGCCATGCGGAGCGTGGGCACCCGCACCACTCAGCAGAACAGCCTGCCTCGCGCCCCCCCACCACCCCCCTCCTCCACCTCTACCCACAGGGGCAGGGGCTTGGAAGATAGGAGTTACAGCATCGAGAGGTCCTCTCAGCAACCTCCTCCCCTGACCCATGCGAAAGGGACTACGGCGGACGAACGCAGCTTTGCCACAGTGGAGCACTCTTCTTCTTCTTCCTACTACGGCAGCGAGCGTCCTCCGCCGCTCTGTGAGGGAGCAGAGAGAGATAGGCCCCCCGCCCATAACAACGGCAACAGACAAGTCTCCAATGGCAATAGGGGCGTTTCCAATGGGAACCGAGCAGTGGCAGTGGTGGGTAACAGCGAGAGGCAGGTGTCCAATGCAATGTTTTTGAATGGAGGCGGGCGGCGTGATGGGCGGGACCAGAGGGATGGGCGTGACCAGAGGGATGGGCGTGATAGGGGGCGAGAAGTGCCGAGAGGGGCGGTGAGTTTGGACATTTGCGGGAACAACGAGGTTTCGCTGAACAATGATAGAAACAGTAGCCAACAGCTGGCTCAGTACAAGGAGGCGGGCGCCAGCGCAGCCAAGGTGGATAACTATAACAACCCCCCCAACATCCTCCCCATCTCTGGGAAGCTGGAGAAGGTTCAGGTGAGTCCCTCTCTCTGTGAGTGTGTGTCTGTGTGTGTGTGTGTGTGTGTGTGCATCCAAATACAGGCTGTAAGTTGAGAATGAGGGTGCATGTTGAAAGTGTGTGTTGTGCATGAGTGTTTATGTATTTGTACAGGAATGTGTATACATGAGTTAGCGTGCAGTCAATAAAAAGCTGTCATAAATTGATATACTGTACTTTGTTACCTAGCTGCTGTAAATCAGTGCTGCCCATTATGACAGGGAGATATTTACATGAAATATGATCTCCTCTCCCGTCAACTCCTCCATGCATTGTAATAGCATTAGCCTTAGCTGTTACTGTTCTTTATGTTAGATTTCTGAAAAGGTCTCTCATACTGGACATATCTTTTTTTATTGTATATCTGCATATAATTTGTGTACCGGTACATTAAAGAACTATAGTAAATGCTCTTAATCCCCCCTTGTAATCAGGTAATTTAAGATAGCTGGAAATTCACATTTAGCTTCAGTATGCTTTCTGCTGAATTAATGATACATATAGTAGCATATTCATAATCTCTGTCAACCTAATTGTCAGATAATGAATGCTGTACAATCCTCACATTATATTTCACCACCAATGCCATTTTCCTTCCTCCCCCATCCAGAGCAACGATGGATTGATCCGCCCCTCTGCCTTCAAGCCTGTAGTGCCCAAGAGCTTCCACTCCATGCAGAATCTGGTGTGCCCCCCCCAGACCGGAGGAGGGGGTCGCAGCACCGGAGGAGGGGCTGGAGGTGGTGGGGATCCCAGTGTACCAGGACCCCTCAGAGACACAGACAGCCCTGGCAGCCAGGGTGGAGGTACCAGAGGCGGCAGCAGGGGCAGAGGCCAGGGGAGCCTGTCTGACTCTGGGAGGAACTCTCTAACCAGCCTGCCCACCTATGCTGGCTCCAGCTCGGGCTACGGGCCCCCGCCTGTCCTAGGGCCCCTGAGCGCCTCCACCAGCCACATCAACCGCCTGGGGACCACGGGGGCCCTGGAGAAGTTGGACAAGCCTGGTGGTGTTAGTGGTGGCGGTGGTAATAGTGGATACCAGAACGGACTGAGCGCCTCGGATAGTGGTCGTTCCTCCTCTGGGAAGAGCTCCTCGTCCTATCAGAGGCTCAGCCACCTGAGTGACGCCCCCCCGCCCCTCCGCCCTTCGCCCTCCTCTGATGACGTCATCCAGGACCTGGAGGATCGGCTATGGGAGAGAGAGCAAGAGGTGAGTAGAGACAGAGGGAGAGAGAGGGAGGTGAGGAGAGGGGTAGAGTGAGAGGAAAAGGGAGAAGAAACAATGGATACTACTGGGGGGGGGGGGGGTGCAGGAGGAGATTTAAAAGATGATATAGTAGAAGAAAGCAACAAACAAATAGTACCAAATAGTGCAAATGATCACAACTATAGGACAGTGAATGAAGTTATTTTATATAATCACAAGAAGCTGTTATTTGAAATTTTAGGAGTTTGCATGACCCATAGAGGGCAAGGGTAACTGTACTAGTGATTTTACTGTTTACCTAATACTGTCTATGGCTTAAGAATAACCCATACATAGCTTCCTGTTTTCTTCTTCTTTTCTTCTTTCTCTTGTTTTTACTATTTTGATATTGAATACTGCACTGTTGGGAAGGGCTTGAAAGTTAAGCATTTCACAGTTCTTGTGCATGTGACAAAAAAAAAGTCAAACTTGAAACTAAAACCGCTGGGAAACTGGTTGGGTGAGTTGATAAACTGGTCAGGTGGGTGTGCCTTAAACTCGCTGAGCGGACAACTGTATTCTTATTAGCTGACGGTCAAGCAGGTAAGACACATTAGGTCTTTGGTCTGAAATAGTAGTGCAAGGTATTCAAGTACTGAGGGCTTGGAGGTAGCGATATGTGATAGTGGGGTGGTACACCTTGGTGGTAGATGGTGAATGAGGTGTGTTACCCACATACAATGCAATGCAAGGAGACATAGTGGAACACCTAAAAAGCAATCAATTAATATTCAACATTCGTTGACATTGCATATGAGAAGTACAAAGAAATATGAAAGACAAGTGTGGCTGTAACCTCAATGATGGATGGTAGCCATTTTGTGAATTCCCCATCATCACCTCTTGCAGCTACATGTGAATTACACCTGAGTTACTTCCTTTCCTCCTCCCCTCTCCCAGGTGCTCCACATGCGCCGTAACCTGGACCAGAGTGAGGCGGCCATCGTACAGGTGTTTGAGGAGAAGCAGCGCGTGTGGGAGCGCCAGATGGACGAGCTGCGGCAGAACTACGCCTCACGCCTGCAGCAGGTAATAGGAAGATATTAGATATTACACACTTATAATCAGTGGTGTAAAGTACTTAAGTAAAAATACTTGAAAGTACTACTTAATTATTTATATTTTTGACTACTTTTACTTTTGCTTCACTACATTCCTAAAACAATTATGTACTTTTTACTCCATACATTTCCCTGACACCCAAAAGTACTCGTTACATTTTTTATGTTTAGCAGGACAGGAAAATTGTTTAATTCACACACTTATCAAGAGATCATCCCTGGTCATCCCTACTGCCTCTGGTCTGGCTGACTCACTAAACACATGCTTCGTTTGTAAATTATGTCTGAGTGTTGGAGCATGCCCCTGGCTATCCATAAATTAAAAACATAAGAAAATGATGCCGTCTGGTTTGCTTTATATAAGGAATAGAAAATTATTTATACTTTTACTTTTGATACTTAAGTATATTTTAGCAATTATATTTACTTTTGATACTTAAGTATATTTAAAACCAAATACTTTTAGACTTTTATCCAAGTAGTATTTTACTGGGTGACTTTCACTTTTACTTGAGTCATTTTCTATTAAGGTATCTTTGCTTTTACTCAGGTATGAAAATTGGGCACTTTTTCCACCATTGCTTATGAATCAAATCACATTTTATTTGTCACATACACGTGTTTAGCAGATGTTATTGCGGATGTAGCGATGCTTGTGCTTCTAGCTCCGACAGTGCAGTAATATCTAACAAGTAATATCTAACAATTTCACAAAATATACCCAATACACACAAATCTAAGTAAGGAATGGAATTAAGAATAGGGTAGGGTAGCCTTCCACAAGCTTCCCACAATAAGTTGGATGAATTTTGGCCCATTCCTCCTGACAGAGCTGGTGTAAGTGAGTCAGGTTTGTAGGCCTCCTTGCTCGCACACGCTTTTTCAGTTCTGCCCACAGATTTTCTATAGGATTGAGGTCAGGGCTTTGTGATGACCACTCCAATACCTTGACTTTGTTGTCCTTAAGCCATTTTGCCACAACTTTGGAAGTATGCTTGGGGTCATTGTCCATTTGGAAGATCCATTTGCGACCAAGCTTTAACTTCCTGACTGATGTCTTGATGTTTTGCTTCAATATATCCACATAATTTTCCTTCCTCATGATGCCATCTATTTTGTGAAGTGCACCAGTCCCTCCTGCAGCAAAGCATCCCCACAGCATGATGCTGCCACCCCCGTGCTTCACGGTTGGGATGGTGTTCTTCGGCTTGCAAGCGTCCCACTTTTTCCTCCAAACATAACGATGGTCATTATGGCCAAACAGTTCTATTTTTGTTTCATCAGACCAGAGGACATTTCTTCAAAAAGTAAGATCTTTGTCCCCATGTGCAGTTGCAAACCGTAGTCTGGCTTTTTTATGGCAGTTTTGCAGCAGTGGCTTCTTCCTTGCTGAGCGGCCTTTCAGGTTATGTCGATATAGGACTAGTTTTACTGTGGATATAGATACTTTTGTACCGGTTTCCTCCAGCATCTTCACAAGGTCCTTTGCTGTTGTTCTGGGATTGATTTGCACTTTTCGCACCAAAGTATGTTCATCTCTAGGAGACAGAACGCGTCTCCTTCCTGAGCGGTATTACGGCTGCGTGATCCTGTGGTGTTTATACTTGTGTACTATTGTTTGTACAGATGAACGTGGTACCTTCAGGCGTTTCGAAATTGCTCCCAAGGATGAACCAGACTTGTGGAGGTCTACAATTCTTTTTCTGAGGTCTTGGCTGATTTCTTTTGATTTTCTCATGATGTCAAGCAAAGAGGCACTGAGTTTGAAGGTAGGCCTTGAAATACATCCACAGGTACACCTCCAATTGACTCAAAGGATGTCAATTAGCCTATCAGAAGCTTCTAAAGCCATGACATCATTTTCTGGAATTTTCCAAGCTGTTTAAAGGCACAGTCAACTTAGTGTCTGTAAACTTCTAACCCACTGGAATTGTGATACAGTGAATTATAAGTGAAATAATCTGTCTGTAAACAATTGTTGGGAAAAATTACCTGTGTCATGCACAAAGTAGATGTCCTAACCGACTTGCCAAAACTATAGTTTCTTAACAAGAAATTTGTGGAGTGGTTGAAAAACTAGTTTTAATGACTCCAACCTAAGTGTATGTAAACTTCTGACTTCAACTGTCCATATGAGATGAGTAATGCAAGATATGTAAACATTATTAAAGTGGCTAGTGTTCCATTTCTTAAAGTGGCCAGTGATTTCAATATCCAGCAGCAGCCTCTAATGTGCTAGTGATGGCTATTTAACAGTCTGATGGCCTTGAGATAGAAGCTGTTTTTCATTCTCTCTGTCCCAGCTTTGATGCACCTGTACTGACCTCGCCTTCTGGATGATAGCTGTTAAATGAGTGAACAGGCAGTGGCTCGGGTGGTTGATGTCCTTGATGGTCTTTTTGGCCTTCCTGTGTCATCGGGTGTTGTAGGTGTCCTGGAGGGCGGGTAGTGTGCCCCCGGTAATGCGTTCGGCAGACCGCACCACCCTCTGGAGAGCCCTGCAGTTGCGGGCGGTGCAGTTGCCGTACCAGGCGGTGATACAGCCCGACAGGATGCTCTCAATTGTGCATCTGTAAAAGTTTGTGAGGGTTTTAGGTGCCAAGACAAATGTCTTCAGCCTCCTGAGGTTGAAGAGGCTCTGTTGCGCCTTCTTCACCACACTGTCTGCCTGGGTGGACCATTTCAGTTTGTCAGTGATGTGTACGCCAAGGAACTTGAAGCTTTCCACCTTCTCCACTGCGGTCCCGTCGATGTGGATAGGGGGGTGCACCCTCTGCTGTTTCCTGAAGTCCACGTTCATCTCCTTTGTTTTGTTGACGTTGAGTGAGAGGTTTTCCTGGCTCCACGCTCAAAGATAATAGATAGATATTAGAATCGCAGAATATACTGTAAATTAGAATGATAGAATGGCTCCTCAGTTCACAGATTGTTGGGTTGTAGGCTATACCCAATATCATATAGCACAATAACATTTGCCATGGCTGCATGGCAAACACTGATAAAGGCAAAGAATGAGCGTAAAGGAGTAGTTTAGAGATGCAGAGTAAAATTCTGTGCAAAGAGTTGATTTTCTCACTCATCTTATTTCAAATGGTACACTCAATATGGCCGCCACCAGTATGCCTACTGCCGAATGTTGATTTGAATGAGGAATGTCCATTCTACCAAATGTATTTCTACCCAGGTGACGCGTCGAGCCCAGCGCTCCCAGAGTGCCTTGCAGGCCCAGATCAGCCGTCTGTCGCAGGACAAGCGGCGTCTGCATGAAGAAATGGCTGCGCTATTGGCCCAGAGAGAGGAGCTGGAGAGGAAGTGCCTGGACTACAGGAAGGAGCAGGCTGACATCCTGCCACGCCTGGAGGAGACCAAATGGGAGGTGTGAGAGGGGACCTGGGGTTAAGAGGGTGGTGTGTGTGGCTGGGTGTGGGATACTAGGGAGATAGGTGAGGTTTAGAAGGTAACTAACTGGGAGGAAGGTTAACTTTTTAGGGGGCATGACAAGTGAGAGTGAGAATGCAAAAAGGAGTGCTGAGAATAACTACTAGATGTCCATGCTACAAAAGGGCAATACTGTCTAAACCAATGATCAGATGTGTCCTATTTGTTCTGTGCTAATGCTTTTTGATCATTAGCACAGAATGCAGCAATAGTTGTCCTATACTGTAAGTGCACATCCATTAGACAGAGACATGCCCTTTACCAGGGTGCTTGTTGATCGCTATTTCAACCATGTCCATATCTTTCATCCCCCACTCCCCCTCCCTCCCAGGTGTGTCAGAAGGCAGGGGAGATCTCCCTGCTGAAGCAGCAGCTGAGGGAGAGCCAGGCGGAGGTGACCCAGCGGGCGGGGGAGGTGGTGGCCCTGCGGGGCCAGCTGAAGGAGGCCAACGCCCAGCTGAGGGACTGGGAAGAGGCCATGTTGGGCCTCAAGGACTCCTATAGCACCAAGAGCCTGGAGCTGGAGCGCTGCGAGGGAGAGCTGCAGAAGACTCTGACCGAGGTAGGGTTGAGGTCTGGAGAGTCAGAGACGGACCTGAAACACTAACTACAATTTGAAGGGTTGTTCTGCTCTGTGCACCACACATTTTGCGCTCTTGAGTAACTCACATTCAAATACACTTTGAAAGACACAAACAATGCTCTCTCTCTCTCTCACTCACACACACACACACACGCACACACAACACACCTTAAGTGAATTAACCCCCACTTCCTCTTTCTTTAACTCCTGATTCACCCTCCAGCCTCTCTTCCCTGTGTCTCTCCAGGTCTCTCTGCTGAGGGACAAGCTGGGAATGTTTGAGGCTGAGGTGGTGGGGCTGAAGCGGGCCCTGGGTGAACTCAGTGTGAGGGATAGGGCTGTCGAGGCTAGTGGTGGAGGGAGCAGGGAAGCATCCAGGACCAGAGGGGGGCTTCCCTCCCCACACAGCCCACCTGAGGGCTCTGCCTTCTCCTACCCAGCCCTGCCTCCACCCCCCGTACCCCCCCCAGATGCCATACTGAGTTTGCAGAGCGATGAGGCTAAATTTCAGTGCCAGGAGGCCAACCAGCGCCAGGAGGCTCACGTGCATCAGGAAGCCCACCAGCGTCAGGAGGCTCACTTGCGTCAGGAAGCTCATCAGCGTCAAGAGGCTCAACTGCGCCAGGAAATCCACCAGCAGCGCCAGGAGGCCCAACAGCAGCGCCAGGAGGCCCACCAGCAGTGGGAGGAGGCAGGGGACCTGCGCCGGCAGCTGGAGCGCCTCCAAGGCGAGCTGCGTCTGGAGCGACAGCAGCGTGAGCGACAGGCACTCACCTTCAAGAAGGAGCGCCATGTGTGGATGGACGAGAAGGAGCATGTGCTCAAGTACCAGGCCCAGCTGCAGCTCAGCTACGTGGAGACCCTGCAGAAGAACCAGGCCCTGGAGCTCCGCGTGGGCCAGCTGGGCTCCAAGCTCACCTCCACCAACACCACCCCCTCGCCCACCTCGCCACCCCCACTGTCCCCCATCCCCCTGCCTGCCCCTGTCACCCCCCTACCCTCCCTCTCTCTCTCCCCACCTCCCCTTGCCGAGGACAAGAAGCTCCCCCCCGCCCTCCACCAGCTGGCCCCTCCCTGGCCGGTACCCACCCGTCTGGAGAGGATAGAATCCACAGAGATCTAGATTCTATGTGCTCTAGATCCATAGTCCTCCAGAACACTGCAGATCCGTTAAATTCAGCTTATACACACTTTTACAATAATGAAACAGTATCACATATCAATAGCATTCATTTGGTACAGTCCTAAATGGTTATACTCACTGCTACCCCGGGGCAGTCCTAGGACGCACTGCACTATGGATGGCAGAGAGAGGCATGGGGGACCATTGGGAAAGGGGGAGGAAAAGGGAGGAAAATAACAGTTTAGACTGTGGTTTTCAAAGACACTCTTCAAGCCCCCTTGTATGCAAGTTTTAGATCTATTGATCTGCTGTCCACAATATTAGGCAATCCACTGAACATTTAGGTTGGGGTGAATATTGGAGTCAAGAATTACACACTACTGGAAAAGCTATTGTTACATTGTCATTAGCATGATATGAATATATTATAAAGGGAAGATATATTATAAAATAATTATCCTCAAGGCAGCCTCTTGAAATGATTAGAAAAAAAATAGTATAAATTTAAATCAAGCCAAATACTAGTACTAAACATGTACTACTACAGTTATCAAATACTGTAAAAGTAGGGACAAGGAAACTACCTTGCAGATTCTGTCTGGGCCTATTTGTAAGATGTCACAATAACTGACAGTGTAAAGACTGAGAATGTATGATAGAGAGATTGAATAGAACACAGCTTTATCAACCTCTGTACAAAAAGGGGCTTGAAGGACAACGTTGAATACTACTGGTGTAAATGCCAGATTTGAGGCATGACTGTTGGGCATGTGTGGTTACTGTATGCCCTTAACAACTTGGCCAGGGCCAGTTATTCTGTTTAATTCACATGGTTAACATTAGGAACGAGATATTATTCAGGTAAACGGGAAGATCCATCCACACAGCCTCCCCCTGTGGCTTTATTGGTGCTATAAGAACACACCACCACACCAAATCACTAAGGAAACATAACCAAAAGGTTAGGATACAGAAGCCGTTTTAAGGGATGTGAGATGTGTTTTTCAGGAGTGTGTTGCATTGTATTGTGAGAAGGTGGGGGGGACCATTTAATAGTGTGCTTGGTTGAGATGGGAAAATGAGGCTTCGGAACTCTAAGGGTCGGGATTGCATGACAGGATCAGTTGTATAAACTAATCAGGGATCTCCAAAGCTTTGATGGGACTGCAGCTGTGAATGATTGACGGCACATTGTATTTGCTGGGTTTAGAAGCCTTTGTTTCCTCCATCTCCAGTGACGCAGTACATGTAGGTTTCTCTGTGCTATCAGTAGCTGCAGTGACTGAGGACGGCCACCTTGTGGCGACAACAACTGACACAAAATGGCTCGATCAATCCCATGATGAAGAATCAGCTGCAAACCTCTTCTTAGCATTTTACTTCGTTTCGAAACTACGTAGGCGACAGCTAAAAGCAGCTTGTAATTTGTTGACGTTCTAGATGCTTTTGGTCTCCATTGATATTCTTAAAGTGACAAAAAGGGCATGTTAGTGATTAATTAATGATTACTTAAACATAAAGGTTGGTCAATGAAGCTGCTTATCTGAGCAAAGTGTCTATTTAAGATCACTAGCAGCAGGTTGTAGCTGAGCCAGCAGACGTGATGGTGTTAAATACTAATTGTAAGATTCAGACTTTATAGGAAGAGTAATGCATTTTTGGAATGATTCTTTGAGATATGGAGTGTACTTGTGTGGTGTACTTGTTTGAACAGGACCCACCCTTATTTGAAAAAACTATGTATATGTCAATATATACTACCTTTATAGATCTCTAGAATATATTTGGCTATATGGGACATTTTACAATATATTAAACTATTCTAAACATTATAGTGTGTACAGTATATGTTGACATATATTTTTTCATGGGTCTGGGCAATTTAGAGAATGACTTTGTGAAGTCAGGGGTGAAAGAAGTGAGGACTTAGAGAAAGAATGGATATTAAAGAGAGGATATGAGGGTGGCATGAGAATAGAGGAAAGGAAAGAGAGGTAGAGCGAGGGATGGATGGAGGGCCCACATACCCTCAGTTTTGGGGCAAATTTGCTGCTATGTACTTTTGTTGTGTCCTGCTGTGTTCTTGGTAGAGACAGAAAGGCAGTGTACTGTAAATATAATTGTTATTTATTATGTGTACATATATATTCAAATATATCAAGCTTATTACGTGTGAATAATTTAAGAGGATTATTGTGAATTAATGAGACAGACATTTCCGCTTTTATTTTTTAAACTATATCAATATAAATATATAAATATATACATATATGAAATCTTTTTAATTTTGTTCTACTACATGGTACATGGTACAGAACAACTAAAGCAAACGTTCAAAAACCAATGTCTGTTAGTTTGTTTTTATTGTTGTTTCAACTCTTGTAATGTCTTAAAAGATAAAATGCTATCAAGTTTCTTTTTGTATTATTTTGTATTATTTATTTTGTGTTACTGAAAAATGTCTTGAAGAAAACATATCTTAGCAAATATGAATTTAATGAATAAAGACGTCATTAAATAATCTTGAAGAACTCCTTTTTTTTGCCCACAGGGTGTTCACACATGCTCACTATGAATAAGCTCAATACTCAATAATATCTGACTTTCAATTTTAAACATGTTGAAGTAGCTAATCACTTATTAGAAATACAGATGGCCAATCATGGTCAAGTTAGGATTATTGGATACAGTTGGCCAATTACGGCCAATTTCAGTATTAGGATATTATCATGTAAGTATTAGGATATTGTAATGTAATATATTGATTATCAATTGATTGCACATTCATTTGAGCAACTGCATAAGTAGGAAAACCCTGCCTTCCACATTTGCAGCATTCGTTGAATTTATAGTAGGAGAGCGGTCAAGCGATAAACAAGTGCACAGCTACTTCGACAGAGTTCGCTTTCGCTGACGCTACTAGGTTTGTACCTGCACAGCGCCGTTGGTCTCATAGCTCATCAGTGACCTTACAGACAAGCATGTTTCTGAAATGTCATAAAAAATAATATATATTGTTATTTGTGGAAGATATTGCTATTGTCGGTGAGTTTGCCTTGTTTTGTAGATATGGCCATCTGCAACTGGCTAGTATTGTGGAATAAATTAGCTAGCTAATGCAATTTAGCATACTTAGCTAACATTAGCTAGCTAGCAACTCATTCCAAAGTGGCAATCTAGCTAGCTGGTTAGCTAACATTAGCTACAGAACTTCAGGGGAGAGCTCGCTAGTTTACTGTACTGTACCACTGTGCTATGTTCTTCTCTGCCACCAATGTTATAGCTTACCCTGCGTTATCAATTCTGTCTATTAATATTGTAACGTTAGTTAGCTATAGTAAACCAATTTTAAGATGGTAACTAGCTAGCCCAGCTATCCTGAACAAGATTCCACATGGCCCTCGTGTAGGCTGTTCTGTTAGTTAATAAGGAGTAAGTAGAAATATGTGTCATCTCTAGAATTGAAGCAGCATGCACATTACATCTTAGGAGCAATATAATATCTATAGTTAAACCAACAGCCTAATGACATTCCTGCATATTCTCTATCTTTCAGCTTCTGAGGTGGATGTCTGCAGGAGCTTTATGCCATGTGGCTAGGCTACGCCATCTCTCCCTAGCCCTCCACAGGCAGTTCCTCAGGGCTCGGTATCTGCACAACGCTTATGGAGAACCTGAAACGGAGGGACTCGATGAGGAGGACGGGAGGGAAGGGGTACTTCCCGGGGGCTACAGGTTACAGTACAACCCCTCCTCTTACCATCGGCCCCAGCGTGACCCTGGAGCCTCCCTGAGCAGGTTGGAGATGGAGGAGGAGGAGCAGTGTCGGTCCACCCTCACCTCTGCCTTCAGACAGCAGAGTAACCGCTACAGTGTCAGCTCCTCACGCCGCCTCTCCAGCACCAAGAACACACTGCTAGACCTGGCCTTCAACAGAGGCACTGGGGCTAAGGCAGAAACGGCACCCCTCTACCGCACAGAACCCCTAACCCCAGACGTCAAAGGCGACCCCCGTGCCTTCCAGACATGCCGCCCAGAGTACTCAACCATGACCCTTGACCTGTCCCAGCGGCCTGCCCCAGTCCATTCCAAGCAGGCCTTCTTCCTGCTGCACAAAGTGACCGTCCTGAAGGGCAGCATGGAGCCTGTGGACATAACCGGCTTCCTCACCAAGCTTAGCCACCTGCACCCTGACCAAACCCCTTTAGTGAGGGGTGACACGCGTTTCATCATGCTGCTCCGCTACTCCGTGGAAAACCTGCGTCACTTCAGCCACTCCCAGCTACTGGAGGTGCTGAGGTCTTTTGTGTGGCTGGGCCTGCCCCCCACTCACAGCATGCTGGGGCTGTATGAGGCTGAGCTGGGCCGCAGGGCTGGGGAGATGGGCCTCCACCAGCTGCTGCTGGCCGCAGACCTGTGGCGCTGCCTGGGGAGGTCCGTGCCTCAGTACCTGCAGTGCCTGTATGACTGCGCCAGCCTGCACTTAGGCCAGGTAGGTGTCCCAGAGATAGTCCAGCTTCTGTATGTGATGGGGGAGGGCAGGCGCTGCCCCAAAGAGCTAGTTCACCCCTTAGAGCAGATACTGATGCGTCACCTGGACCAGCTGGAGCCAGAGGAGGTAGGTGCCGTGTGTCTGGGCCTGTTCAAGTCCCAGACGGCTCTCTCGGAAGGAGCGGTGAATCGGCTGGTGGACAGGGCCCACTCGCTTGTGTATGAGATGAGTGACTTTGCCATGGTGAACGTGATGAAGCTGCTGCGTTTTAGCTACCTGGATCATCGGGCATGGCTGGAGGTCATGGCGCATGAGGTGCCTCGCCGCGCCCCCAGCATGGGCGTCCAGGGGCTGATGCATGTGGCACTGGCCTGCTCGGCCCTGCATTACCGCAACGAACGCATCCTCCTGGCTGTTGCTGAGCGCCTGCCGTCGTTAGTGCCACACTGTCGGAGCAAGGACTCAGGCAAGCTGCTATGGGCCTTTGGGACCCTAGGTGTCCTACCCA